GCCAGCTCTGCTAGCGGGTTCTGTACCCCAACTTCCTGCGCCAGCTCTGCTAGCGGGTTCTGTACCCCAATCTGTGCCAGCTCTGCGAGTGGGTTCTGTACCCCAACTTCCTGTGCCAGCTCTGCTAGCGGGTTCTGTACCCCAATCTGTGCCAGCTCTGCTAGCGGGTTCTGTACCCCGACCTCCTGCGCCAGCTCTGCTGGCCGGGGACAGCCTGCGTTAACGTGTAATTTAGCAGTTCCTGAAATTTTTGGGCTGGGTATGTTCACATGAAAAGTATTATTTATCCAGGCAGTGATTATATGATGACAAATTAAATTTACTCTTAACTGTTTTAAATGGAGCTGCAAGTGGCCCACTTGCGAGAGCCCAACGTCTCCTGACGTGGGCTGAGTTTAGAAGGACTTGCCATGAGCCCCTGGAGCAGGGTGGGCAGGCCTGGCCATCTATCACCCTGGCATCCTCCCACCAGGACCCTGCTCCACACCAGCCTGAGCTTTGTTCCAGAACCGTCGGAGCTGTCACTGGAGAATGTGTGCTCCCCTCTCTTGCTAAAGGCATCTCCAGGACCAAGCTAAACGCCGCCCTCCTCCCACAGGGCAGACGAGACAGCTCCCACTGCTGCCACACCCAGCTCCCCACAGGTGGCCGCCTCCAGGCATGTCCTTGGGCCGCCCATAGGCCCCTCACACCCTGCCGCTCCACCTCCAGGCAGCTAACACTCTCTAATGCCTTCCCGTCAGGCAGACTTTATCATCATCATCCTCTCTAAGTCCCCTCAGCCCTTCACCCAGAGTTCCAGCAGGGCTTCTAGCACTTTCCACCTGAACCATCACTGTTTCGAGTACAGCTTTTGGACAGACTTTTCCTGTTTATTCTTACTCTGTCCCTCTCCCTGTCACAGACACATATGTGCGCGCACACACACACACACACACACACACACACACTCTATGGTGCAGTGAGTGACTTGATATGGCCCGTCTAGCCATGGTCTCTGACTCCCACCAGATGGCTGGGTGGGACTATGCAAATGGGAGGTGTCTGAGGCCCACCAAGGGGACTGGATGGGTTGTTAATAATGTACATGGCATCCTTATAGGGGTGGGACATGCAAATAAGGTGGAGGTACCCTAATGTAGGGACTGGTCAGGTGTGCCATCTCACTAGGCTTAAAATGAGCCCCCCCAGAGGTGGAAAGGGGGAGCTCACTGCCATCAAGAAAGAACAGCCGGGAGTGGGGCGTGTGCCTGGACCCAAGATCCCTGCACACAGATGGCAGGAAGCAGCGGCAGGAACAGCGGCAACTCAGGTGGAGGAACTGAGACCGGCTGGAGACGGGGCGGGTCTCCCAGCCCGCGGTGCTGGGAAGCCGAGTGCCCTCGGGCAGCAGGCTTGCTGGCAGACGGGGTGGCTCTCTGGACACCCATCAGCAGAACTCAAAGAGAGCGCAGCAGAGGCCAGGGGGCCTCAGGGCTGAGAGGCCAAGCCCGAGCGAAGCGGGCCTGTGGCAGGGCTGAGAAGCTGTCCTGATGGAAGAGCTGTATCCTGAGTTGTCTCCGATCCCGAAAACCCTGTCACCGTGCGTGGCCACTGCAGCAGACTATTGAGGCCAGCAGAGAAGCAGGGAGTGCCGTGGGAGGCAGGGCTGTGTCAGAGGGGTTAAAGGCTGCAGGGTGGCAGCTGGCCAGCCCTCGGCCTCGCGGGCTGTTGATGCTTTTGACCTCCACCCCATGTGAAGTCAGAGAAGGTCAGACAGTGCCTACTCCCTTTACACACTCACGGACACACACACACACTCTACACTTACCCTCTTACACTCATACACACACTCTCACACACACAATACCGCCTCTCATACACTTACTCTCACACACTCACTCACTGTCACACACACATCCACACAATCACACTGTCACACACTCTACACTTACCCTCTCACACTCACATACTCTCATACACTCAGTCACACATACACACACACACACACTTACCCTCTCACACTCATATACTACACACATTCACATACTGCCTTTCATACACTTACCCTCTCTCACATACTCACATGCTGTCACACACACATGCTCTACATTTATCCTCTGACACACTCATACACACTCACACACACATACTGCCTCATCCACTTACCCTCCCACACACACTCACATACTGTCACACAGTCTCTCCCACACTCCCACACTGTCTTGCACACTCACACACTCTCGCACACACTACTTGCACACTCTTTCATGCACACAATCTCTCTTGCACACATACACTCTGTACACACAAGGAAATACAATGCATGTTCTTTTCATCCTGCCCTCCCTGCTGTTCTGTGCCCCCTTTCCAAGTGTTCCCAAGGCCATAAATACAAAGCTATGCTCATTTTGACAGTCATAGGTAAGTCCATTGCTGGGATTAACTTGACATACTGTAACCAGGTGGCTTTGCCGGCTTGATAAAAACTGGTCTAAGAAGAACATTCTCAAAGTCACATCTGAGAATGCATGCTGTATACCCCTGTCCCTTTCCTACAAGGGGCCCTTCAGGGTCTGGCTCAGCCAGGCCCAACACCCACCCCAGGCCAACCCCAGCAACAGGGCCCAGGGTCCCTGTCTCCCATCCCCCCCAACACAGGGTTCGCCCATTTACCTCTTATGCCCTGACCCCGTGTCATGGGGACATTGCACTGCTGGCTCTTGGTGCATCTTTGGCAGCAGTGGGGCTCTCACGCTGCTGCCCTGGCTCTTGTCCAGTAGGGCCGTAAGCTCTTACTTCCTCCGGCATGAAAAGCGGTGTCGTCTGAACCGTGGCCCTCCCTGGGGAGCATGTGCCTGGCTTGTGCGCCCTCCTGCTCCTGCAGCCCAGGCTCTCTGCAGTCCACATCCCTACGCTTCTCTGAGGCACAGCTTTGCTCCAGTCACCCACACCCTTCCTTTGGTTGAGTTTCTCACTCACGTTTGGGTAGGGACAGTTCTTTCAGGACCAGCCTCGTGGTAAAAAAACAGTGTGGATGGGGTGGTCCTCAAGGCCCCTCCTGAGCCTGTGGGTCCACGTGGACCTTCTGTTGAGAACACATTTGGGAAGCACAGGTTGCTGGTACACAGGAGAAATCCCCAAATGTCAACACCTTCAGGGTCAGATGGGTACTGGGTACCGCAAGTATCTGGAGCAGGGTGACCAACCCCCAGAGAGCACGCTCTGCCTGCACTAGAATTCCATCCCAGCTGCCCACAGATTCAGCGTGGTCTTTGTTTAGTGTCTGCTCAGGCCTCAGGACAGGGCAGAAAGAGGTGCCAGAGGTTTGGGGTCCAGGCTCAAGGCTGGTCTCTGAACTGGAGCGTGTGTTCTGTCCCTCTGGAGGGGTTTTTGTGGAGATCCATGGCCACGCAGCACCACCCTTGGTTCAGCAGTGCTTCAGCCTTCCTGGGCTCAGTGAAGGTGACATGACTCCTGACCTCCACTTCCTTGCTTCCGGAGCCCATCAGAGAAAAGGCAACATAGGGTGCTCGTCCACACAAGTTCTCTGGAGAGCGGGTCAGAGGCTTCAAGGGGGTTCAGCTGGACTCACAGTGACCACTCTCTCCTCCAGCTCCTCCCAGTGGGGCCGAGCCACCCCCAGACTCCCATCTCTCACTGCTGTGACAACTTCTGACACCTGTACCTCCTACCGGCACTTGCCCTGAACTCAAAGAGTCTGTGGCCCGATGGTGGGCCACCCCCAAGTGTCCAGAGAGATGAAGTTCCTGCCTCTGATTCTCCATTCTTTCTGCTTGTTTTGCAGGTTTCCAGTAGGGCTTGGTAATTCTAGTAGGATTTGATGATCCCAGTTTGATGACGCTTGCAGGTTCTGGTAAGGTTTGGTGGCCCTGATAGGGTTTGGTGGTTCTCGTAGGGTTTGGTGGTCATGCTAGGCGTTGGCGGTTCCAGTATAGCATGGTGATTCTGGCTTGGGCTGGAGGTTCTGACAGTTTAGTTCCTCTGGTTCTTGCTGAAACTGTGCCATTAATTGAGTTATCTATTGCCCCTCACGGCACAAGCCCTGGCCCTGGGTGGATGGAGGTTTCCTACGGACATTTCTGAAGTCTTAGGTCAACTAACAGTGACATGGTAGACCCTGTTAGTGCCCTACCCACATGCCCTCTGCCCACCCAAAGGTTACAATTCCCATCTGGAAGTTATAGTTCCCACCGAGGTTCACAGTAACTACCAGGAGGTCACAGTTCCCACTCACAGGTCCTATTCTCAGCCAGGAGTCACAGTTCCCACCCAAGGACACAATTTCTGTACAGTTGTTGGCTTCTCCCCTCAAGGCTTTCTCTGGGCTAGAAAGCCAGTGCCCTGGACTGACCCCCAACCAACATGGCAGGAATGGCTGGACAAACACCCCACCCTCCTGGCTCCTCAAGAAGACACCTTGGGGGCAGGTTTGTCATGTTAGATGACACCAGGACTGAGCCCAGTGTCCATGGCAGCCACCACTCATCCACACCCCCTCATGGCCTCCTCCTCCTCCCCACGTGGCAACCTAACTGGCTCCCACATCCACTCTTAACACCCAAACCCTTGTCCTAGTGCCTGCCTCTGAGGACAAATGGTGGCAACCTTTGTGATGGTAATGATGAACTGTCAGTCCACACCGGGCACCATGCCAATCAGAGACCCTCACAAGCTTGCTATACCCTGATTTTAAGGGGGAGATCTTCACATAAAGGCCCACTGAGGTCCCCAGACTTCCAGAGCAACCACTGCCCAGCCCCGACCCCATTGCCCACAGGCACTGAAGGAGCCCCACGGCCCCCCGCGAGTTCGCCTCCATCGTCCCAGGAAAGCAAACCCCTAGGAGGTGGGACCGTCAGGACCAAGTGCCCTGTGCCTTGTCAAGCCCTCCCAGGAAACCTGCAACCGCAGGAGGGCAGGCCTCTGCGGAGCACGCATGCATGGGCAGGGCTGAGGCCGAGGCAGCCCCGCTGTCAGAGGGCTGACCTGCCTGAGACGCCCCAGCACGACCCCCCCCCCACACACACACACTAGCCCAGGCAGCCAGACAGCGAGAGAAAGATCAGCTCTCAGTCCGAAGCCCACCCTCTGTCCAGCACTGGGTAAACTCCCTAATACCGTTCACTGTACATCAACCCAAAGCACGTGGCACCACTCTGAGCATGAGGGCAGGTTGACGGCCCCTTTGGTCTCGCGATACTAGTGGTGCCGCAACAACATTGAGCATGAGGGCGGGAAGACGGTCTCTTTGGTCTCGTGATAGTCACTGTAGGTGCTGCAGTCACTGTGAGTGCGATGGCGGGGCGACAGCCCCTTTGGTCTCGCGATACTCACTGGTGGCCTCAACCATTGTGAGCGTGAGGGCGGGGGACAGCCCCTTTGGTCTCACTACTCACTGGTGGCCGCAACCACTGTGCGTGTGGGGGCGGGGCGACAGCCCCTTTGGTCTTGCAATACTCACTGGTGGTGCTTCCGGACATCTGAATGATGCACTTGGAGTCGCGGCTCATTTCTCGGGAGTTGAAGGGGCGGACGCGCACCGCCACCTTCACGGAGGCCCCAGCCATTGCTGCGGCCTCTGTGGGTTACTCCTGCAGCAGTGGGACCTCGTGAGGGCAGGAGATACCTGGAGGAGGGAGAGAGAAGTAAGAAGTAGCATCGAGGAGGCAGAACAGGTGCTCGGTGACCAGGGGAGCCACGGGTCCTTTGCTCTCCCTTCCGTAACCCCAAAGGACCCATCGCTGGGTCCAAGTCCATGAGGAGGAGAGGGGCGCAGGTGAGAAATGCCGTAGAACTCGGAAATGGGAAGCAATGGGGACCCGGAGGACGTGACTTTGAAGACGAGGTGGGAAGGCGACACAGGACACGGCCAGTGGGCTCTGCGCAGCCAGAGACTTTAGGTGCTCCTGCGGCCGGTGTCTGAGGCGGCACTGAGAACAAGTGTTTGTGGAAAGTCAGCCTAAGGAGGACTGGAGCCCTGACCTCCGTCCTGCCCCCGAGTGTTAGTACAGTACCCAACCAGAGGCCAGTAGAAGGCGGGGTGAGGCTCTCCATTGAGAAGAGGGGCTGAGCTGCACCCGAAATTCTGAGAAGCTCCCCCTAACCGCCTTCAGTGAGCTGGCTGCCAGGGGCAAGTGGCTGACTGGGCCAGGACAGAAGCAAACGTGAACAGATGAGAACAGGTCATAGAGCTTACACTCTAGTGTTCACTGTCTCCCTCTTAAATACAGGCAGATGGCTGAGGATCAGTAAACACTGAGGAAATCTAACCAGAAACACAGAGACTAAAGGGAGCATGAAGGAATAACAGCAGGGGACAGAGAATGAGTATCCTCCAGAGGAAGAGCAAAGCTACTACACCAGTGAACAAGTACGCTGGGGGGGGGGGACTTTTAAAGAATAAGAGAGTTTTCTGAAATGAAAACAGAAATGTTAAGACTCAAGGGGCATGGTTGTGGTGGCTTTTTGGCCACAGCTAGCTACCCTGAGAGAGCGAGTAGTTGGATCTGTGGGCTGGGGACCATGACTGCAGGGGGACATCAAGCTTAACTGACATACCACACTACACAAAATTGTTTTACATCCCACCTTGGTGAGTAGCAACTGGGGTCTTAAAAGCTTGCAAGTGCCATTTAGATGCAAAAATAGGTCTCTTCTCATCCAGAGCAAAGAAGAAAGAAGAAAACCAAAAATGCATGGAAACAATTAGTCCAAGAGACTGGTAGACCATGTGATCCTAAGGTTATATGACCGTGAGACCAGAAGAACTAGATAGTCCCCTGCTACCATTGTCAACCACTCATAGGGGGATCGTTGTAGGAGATCCCGGATAGGATGGGAGAACAATGTGGAACAAAACGACAAATCATCATAAAAGACTGGGTTTGCTGGTCTGATAGAGCCTGGTGAGACCCCTGAGACTATGGCCCCTAGTTACCTTTCAGGTCTGGAACTGAACTCACTCCTGTGGCTTCCAGCCTAACAATAGGCAGGCATATAGGGTGAACATTTACATCACATAGATGCACTCCTTGAAGCAGTCGATCATGGGAGAACAGAAGGGCAGTGTTTCCACAGGGAGAAAGCTCAGAGGACAGGAGTGCATTGGAGGGAAGGACATAGGGAAAAGAACTATGAGGAGGAAGTGGGAAGAGAGTTGTTACACTGTGGGGAATTGCAGTCAGTGTCATGAAACAAAATGTGTATGAACTGCTGTATGGAAAGTGAACTTACTCTGGAAATTTTCAACCAAATCACAATAAAAACATTTTTTAAAACAAATGTTAAGAGTCATAAAAAAGTTAAAAACTAAAACCAAGGAATTTTCCATGAAAGTAGAGAAAAGAAAACCAAGAATTAATGAAAGCAAACTATTAGAGTTAAAGACAATTTATCTCAACTAACGGTGAAAGAGCAGCTTGAGAAGATAAAGTAAATTATTATAATGAAATATGCATAGTATAGTAGAATAAAGACGCTGAAACTTGCCCTTGAACGGAGAGTAGTTAAAGCAAGTGGAAGAAGTGACAAGACAAAAGAGCTGAACAGAAGATTTCAAAGAGCAGCTTGAGAAGCGAAAATTATTATGATGAAATGTGCAAAGACCTGGAGTTAGAAAACCAAAAGGGAAGAACATGCTCCAGCATTTTTCAAGCTGAAAGCACTGAAAACAAAATTCAAGCCTCCAGTTGCAATATTGAAAGATTCTATGGGCAAAATATTGAATGATGCAGGAAACATCAAAAGAAGATGGAAGGAATGCACAGTCACTGTAGAAGAAAAAATTAGTCGTTCAACTATTTCAGGAGGTGGCACATGATCAAGAACTAAAGGTATTGAAGGAAGGAGTCAACGCTGCACTGACGGAATTGGTGAAGAATAAGCCTCTAGGAATTGATAGAATACCCATTGAAATGTTTCAACAAATGGATGCCCACTGGAGGCACTTACTCATCTGCCAAGAAATGTGGAAGACAGCTACCTGGCCAAGTGACTGGAAGAGATCCATATTTGTACCCCTTCCAAAGAAAGGTGATCCCACAGAATGTGGAAATTATTGAACAATATCAATATCACACACACATAAAGTTTTGCTGAAAATAATTAAAAACAATTGCAGCAGTATGTTGACAGGGAACTTCCAGAAATGCAAGCTGGATTCAGAAGAGAACGTGGAATAAGGGATATCGTTGCTGATGTCAGATGGATCTTGGCTCAAAGCAAAGAATACCAGAAAGATGTTCACCTGTGTTTTATTGACTATGCAAAGGCATTCAACTGTGTGGATTATAACAAACCATGGATAACATTTCAAAGAATGGGAATTCCAGAACACTTAATTGTGTGCATGAAGCATCTGTTCATAGACCAGGTGGCTGTTTTTCAGACAGAACAAGGGGATACTGCATGGTTTAAAATCAGGAATGGTCTGTATTCAGGAATGTCATACTCAGTCTGTATGCTGAGCAAATAATTCAAGAAGCTGGACTATATGAAGAAGAATGTGGCCTCAGGATTGAAGGAAGACTCATTAACAACCTGTATGCAGATAACACAACCTTCCTTGCCGAAAGTGAAGATGACTTGAAACACATATTGATGAAGATTGAAGACTACAGTCTGCAGTATGGATTATATCTCAGCATAAAAGGAAAATCTTCCCAACTGGACCAGTAAGCAGCATCACGATGAATGAAGAAAAGATTGAAGTTGTCAAAGATTTCATTTTACTTGGATCCACAATCAACACTCATGGAAGCAGCAGTTAAGAAATCAGACATTGTATTGCACTGGGAAAATCTGCTGCAAAAGACCTCTTTAAAGTGTTGAAGAGCAAAGATGTCATGTTGAAGACTGAGGAGGACCTAACCCTAGCCATGATGTTTTCAGTCACCTCATATATGTGTGAAAGGTGGACAATGAATGAGGAAGACCGAAGAAGAGTCTATGCTTTTGAGTTATGTACTTGGCAAAGAATACTGAAAATACCATGCACTGCAAGAAAAAGAAGCAATTCTGTCCTGGAGGAAGTACAGGCAGAAAGCTCCTTGAAAGTGAGAATGGCCAGACTTTACCCTCACCTACTTTGGTCATGTCAGAAGGGACCATTCCCTTGAGAAGGATATCATGCTTGGTAAAGTGAAGCATCAATGAAAAAGGGGAATGCCCTCAGTGAGGTGGATGGACGCAGTGGCTGCAGTGATGGGCTCGAGTATAGCAAGGATGGAGAGGATGGCACAGGGCCGGGCAGTGTTTCATTCCGTTGTCCATAAGGTCACTATGAGTTGGAGCTGACTCGATGGCACCTAACAAGCACCATGACAACAAAGGTCACAAGTTTCTGAATTACAGGGGTCTGCTGACCCTGCCAAATGTAAAAGAGACCCACACTAAGGTAAATTGTTGTGAAGTAGCAGAACCTCAAGGCTAAAGAGAAGGTTCTTGAATCTTCCAGAGAGAAATCATGCAGAGTTGAGAATCGAAATGGCATCAGGCATCTCATCAGCAGATGACTGCTGTGGAAGACAATCATGAAGCAGTGCCTAGAGTGTCCAAGGGGAGTTATTGTCACCCTGGAATTGTACGTTCAACCAAACCACTGACCATGTTTGACAGGAGAATGAAGGTCTTTTAGACATGACATTTCCCTCGTCCTGCACTCCCGGGAAGACATTGGACTTTGTTAGTAAGCGGTAAGTGGGGAGAGAGGAAGATGTGTGGTCCCAGCCAGAAGGATGGGGAAGGGACCCCAGAAGGACACGGGGGTTGCCCCAAGGGTGACATCCCTCATCAGAGAACGTGGAGACCCACGGAGCCGACGATGGGGCATTACTGCCCAGAGAGGGTCTGTCTGAGGGCTTGGTGAGGAATAGCAACAGTCCCAAGGAGAAGCACAGGCAAAAGACCACATCGTTGACAGAGTCCTGAGAAAGCATCTACAGAAAGTGGTCGTAGTCCATGTCTCAGTGTAGGTGTGTAGCGAAGCATATGAACCTAATCCCAGTAATGCCATTAACACAAATATTAGTTCGACAACAAGAGAAACATGGGAAGACATAGGCAAGTGAGTCGTGGGTGGTGGTGGATGTGCTGGCAGAGCCTAGTATAGAAAGGCTGGCTCTATAACAGTGAAAGATCTTGATAAAACCCAGAACTGAAAAATGAAGAAACGGCACTGGGAGTAATTAGGAGGCTGCCCAGTCCTAGTCCTGCCCTGATCTCCACTGTGTGACATAGCCCACTGGGCCTTGGTTTACCCATCTCTGAAATGACCAGGATCCTGGGACTCTGAGGAAGGCTCGTGAAAATCCCCCAAAAGTAAAGATGCTACAGCTGCTGGCTGTCGGGGCAAGTTGTCACGGTCATTCCCAGAAGACGTGACGGAGCAGATCAGCCAGACACCAGCTAACTTCATGGAGGCTTAGGGGCTGAAGGACGGGGATACTGGGAATGGGGAGGTGCAAGCTCAGGGCAGGATGGAGGAGTTACTATATGGAAATGGCCAGAAGTCCTAGGAGACAGTTGAGCCTCCCGTGAGAATGACGCTGGCCCTTTGCACACTTCTGTCTAAAATGGAGTCAGATACCCATGAGTGGTGAGTCCCCTGC